TTAGGGCCTAGGGTTTACGGTTTGAGGGTTACCTAGGTTCCCGGTTTAGGGCTGTTTTTTTGAAGGCCTTTCTCCACAGCTCTGAGTCCATGGCAGGCTTAGGGTTTAGGGCTTAGGGTTTACGGTTTGAGGTTTTCCCAAAGTAAAAAGTATAAAAAGGTAGCCTAGAAACCGAGGCCAGCGAGCAATGATGTCGCCATTTGCCACTGGGCCAGCTTCGCACAAGCAGTCATGCAAACACTGATGCTTAGGACGGTGGCCTCCACAAATGCTGCATGCATCTGGACCATCAGCTGATGTGTAAGCTGCCAGCTTTCGCAAGCCTCACAGGCACTGATGCCAGCAGCGTAGCTGACGTTAGTTGGCTTCGCCTGCGCAGCAGACAATAGATGCATTGCCACTGGCCAATAACGGTGCTCATCAAAGCCGTTCACAATCGAAGAAAAGCCACAGTCATCAGGTTCTCCCTGCTTAGGGGCTGAGTACCCTAGCCCAAAAAAGGTTAACCTTTTGAATTATAGTAGGATCATATAAGCCCCAAAAGTTTCAAAAGGTTAAAGGTTACCTACTCAGCCCCTGAGCCTGGGACTGGAGCTGCAGGAGCACTTCCCACCGCAGCCTCTGCCTGCACACCTTTGCCACAGCACTCGTCCGAATCCCTTGGGGCTGCGCTGAAGCACGCTGCATTGCACTCAAGAGCTCGACCGCCACGGTCCACATACCAGGCTCGACAGCCCCGACGACCGCCTCCAAGCTTATGTGGCTAGGCTTCACCTCAGAACTTGTCATGCCGACAAACAGCTGGACGGCTTTCTGCCACTGTCCGCTTACTCCGCATGCACCTATTGCTGCGCCCATGTTGATCTCGCTGGCCTGCAATCTTGTCCGGAGCATGTCATCCAAAAGCTCGATCACCTTCCTCCACTGACTGGCCTTCTCGCAGGCACTCATGGCTGCATTCCTCGCGACCTTGCCTTCAACCCTGCAATCTTGTATGCACACCATGAGCTCCAAGGCGTGCTGCCACTGACCAGAGATAGCGCACGCATGCATGCCAGCGCTGAAGCTGATTTCATCGGGAGTGGCGAGACTTAGCCGCATCTCCGTGAGGAGGTGCAGTGCTTCCTGCCAATGGCCACATTGCCCGTATATGCCAATAGTTCGACTCAGGGCAATCTGGTTAAGGAGCACACGCGCAGTCTGCATTGCAAGTAGAAGTGACATCACAACTGGCCACTGCCGGTCTTTGTCACAGGAACCAATGGCAGCACCAAAACTGATGATATTGGCCTGCAGCGCAGCTGCCTTCATCCCGGTCAAGAGCTGCACAGCCACCTCCCACTCTCCGGCATTCTCACACGAAGCGATGGCCGTATTGATACTGATCGTGTTCGGTGTCGCCGAAACTGCGGCCATGCTACTCAGCAAGTGCAGCGCCCTCTGCCACTCGCCGTCTTTGACACAAGCACTCATGGCCGAAGAAAAGCTGATCTCATTGGGTGTTACGGCCATATCCATAAGGCTCCAAAGCAAAAACGACGCCCACGGCCAGCGGCCGCTTTTTGCACAAGCACTGATCGCTGCACTGAAACAAACAACATCGGCCCGAACATCTGCCGCCAGCATACTTGCCAACAAGTGAAGGGCAGTTTTCCACTGTCCACCTGACAGTTCTCGAAAGCAAGGGAACCCGAATCTAAACCGCGAAGCAATACTGCTACTGCTGCTGCTACTGCTGCTACAACAACATCTACTACGACTGCTACGACTACTACGACGACGACTACGACTACCACTACCACTACGACAACGACGGCTACGGTGCTACGGAGACGACAGCTTCTACACCCAATGCCACTGTCACCGCCACGGCAGCATCCCTTTTCGCTTATGGTGCCACGGCAGTAAACAGCCCACCTCTGTCACAGGCACTGATGCTTGCGCTGAAACAGATATGGTCAAGCCTCACGCTGCTCTTCATAGTTTCTCCAAGCAGCTCTAAAGCATGCTGCCACTGGTCACCTTTGGTGCACGCAGTCATCACGGTGCTGAAGCTTATCACATCAGGTTCAAGTTGACTTTCCAGCATTCGCGAGAAAATGAAGACAGCCATCTCCCACTCGCCTGCTTTTTCAAAAGTGCTTAAGGCCGCATTGAAAGTGACGGTGCTGGCCTCGAGTTGTGCGAGGCCCATATCGGCTATCAGGTAAGACGCCTTCTGCCACTGCGCACCGATTGCACACGCAGCGATCGCAGCATTGTAGCTGATCTCGCTAGCCCACACCCCGGCATCCAGCATGGCAGTAAAGACCTGAAGTGCCAGCTGCCACTGCTTTGCTCTCTCACATGCACTGATGGTTGAATTGTATGTGATCACATCTGCAGAGGTGCTCCCAGCAGCCTCCTGGGTAGAATCGAACGAGACGAGAAACTATCAACCCCCACCACTGCATCTCCAGGCAAGTCAGTCATCCTCCCCAGTCGTAAAACGGACAATGAGAGCATCAATCGCATGACAAAACAAGTAGAAACACTTATGAGGACAATGCACCCTGTAACACGATTTGAAAACACAAACCCTGAACCCTAAACCCTAAACCCTAAACCGTAACTCTAACACCCTCAGAACTCTCAGCCTTGAACCCTAAATCTCAAAGCCCGGGGCCCTCTAACCCTAAATATATCAAACATCAAACCCTAAACCCTAACGTGCTCCTGGAAGAGGTGATATGCATCCTGCCACCTTCGCGCTCTCCCACATGCGCTGATGGCTGTGTTGAAGGTCACCTGGTGTCAGAGAGGATTGAGATGTTATGGGGTTTAGGGTTGACGGTTTAGGGTTTAGGATATTTAGGGTTTAGGGTTGGGATTCAGGTTCAGGGATGTTGGGGTTCAAGGGCTCGGTTAGGGTTCCGGCCCGACATGCCCTAATTCTGGTTCCCGACAGACCACGACTGAGTTTCAAAATTTCGCGACATCGAACTGCATGAGGTCTCCCTTCCAGAGCTTCTTCTACAGGCGAGTCGGGGGATTCGGCCCGAGTAGCCGTAGTAGCAGCAGTAGCAGTGGTACGAGCACGAGCACCTAGCATTGGCAGTAACTTTCGTGTCAGACTCAATGCTTCTAGGGACGGTGCAAGTACTCCTCTTAGTGACTACCTTAACCCTCTACCCTCCCTTATAAAGTCTTGTAAGTATCAGCTGCTGCTTCGACGTGTATATCATCTCATCAACGTTACCACCGTTGTCTGCTTCAGAGGCACCACATCTGGTGCGAGGCGACATCGCGGCAGATCCGCCAACAGCTGCAGCGCTGCCTGCCAGCTGCCTGGGTTTAGGGCTTAATGGATTTAGGGTTTAAGGGTTTGGGGGTGTATGGGTTTGGGGCTTAAGGGGTTTGGGGCTTCAGGGGTTTGGGGCTTGGGGGTTTATGGCCTGGGAAGGGCAATAGCTCAAGGCATTTAGGGCGTGCGGCATTTTTCTTATGCAGGCCCTAAACCCTAAACCCTAAACCCTGAACCCTAAACCTGCAGGCCCCTCATGTCCTTCTGCCTTGCCCTTCTGGGGAATAGGGTCTGTTTTGTAGCTGGCTGAGTTTAGGGTTTAGGGTTTAGGGTTTAGGGTTTAGGGTTTAGGGTTCGATGGGATCTCCCTTGTCGAGATTCTCAAGGTGGTAAGTGCCCTGGGATTCTACACAGATGAGAACTCATTTTGGCGTAAACCCTAAACCCCACCCTAAACCCTAAACCCTAAACCCTAAACCTAATTGGAGGGTTCGGATGGGTTTACTTAAGGCCCAAGTGGTTAGGTCCAGGTCCCACAATCTGGAGACCTGCTCGGAGGTTCATGCTTGTTACAAGTATAGGGTTTAGGGTGTAGGGATTCGGGTTTAGGGTAGTTATAAGAAGGATTATAAGTAGGATAACTATACTTATAAGTTATAGGTTATGACCCAACGTACAGTAAGGGACTGGTAGCCCACGTAGAACTACCAATGAACCTCCAAGTGCGGCCAAGCATCGGGAGCGTGCACATTCGCCCAAAGCCTTGTTCAGGTCCACGAGACGGGGCTGCTCCATTGCTGAAAAGCAAGGATACGGGGGTTTAAGGTCTAGGGTCTAGGGTTTAGGGTTTAGGGGTTTAGGATTTAGGGGCGTAGGGTTTAGGGTTTAGGGTTTAGGGTTTAGGGGTTTAGGGGTTTAGGGTTTAGGGCCTAGGTTTAGGGATAGGGTTCATAAGATTAAGGCTTAAGATCTTTTTGAGCCAAGGGGTAAGTGTCCAGCCAGATACAAACAAAGACCAAATTCCACGCTGAGCCCGGGAACACCCCGTCACCCTGTGCAACAAGGGCCCCCAAAAGAGTTCCTAACCAAGTGAAACCCTAAACCCTAAACCCTAAGAGATACAAGTCCTACATCTGGCACAGGGGCCTGAATCATTAGCATAGGAAATGCCTTCCTTAAGAGCAACCCTAAAAGGAATCACATAATATAGGGGCCCTATTATTTTGGGGGCTCGTTATTAGAATTATAGTATAATAGACC